TCCCTACACGAGTTGATTATATTCTTGCCTATATAGCCCCATAGAACGTTAGCATTCATTGCTGATAGGGTGCACTGCTGATTATTTTTCAAATCATTGCTCACTAGGACCTGCAGAGCTTCCCCTGTGAAGGCATTACCAAGCCAGTCAGTCCCCAGCCCACCTTGGTCCACATGGTTACTCTGTCCCAGGTGCAGGACTGTGTATTTGTCTTTGTCATACCATTTCTCCAGCCTTTATCTCCAGTTTGCTGAGGTCCTTCTGAATGGTAATGCTGCTCTCCAGCATATCAGTCCCTCCTCCCAATTTGGTATCATCCACAAACATGCTGAAGGTGCATTTTGCCCCATCATCCAGGTTTTTAAAGAAGACATTAAACAATACTGGCCATAGTATCAACCCCTGTCAGATACAACTAGTAGCCAGCTCCTGATTAGGCTTCAACCCTTTGACCATTACCCTTTAAGTCTGCATGAACTTCATCCAGCTACTAAGCTACTTTAGAAGCCACCAATCTAATGCACAGTTCCCTGGTCTAGATACGAAGATGCTACGGGAGATTGTGTTAAAGGCCTTGGTAGTGTCAAAGTATACAACACCTACTTCTCTCCGCAGTCATCCCATTACAAAAGGGAAACAAGTCAGTCAGGCACAATCTGCCATCACTAAATCTGTGCTGTCTATTCCCAATTGCTTTATTATCCATCATTTTGCCTGAAATAACCTTTATAACTACTTGCTCCTTAATCTTCCAAGGGGCTGTGAGTAGGCTGACCAGCCAGTTTTTCCCCAGATGCTCCTCCTTGCCCTTTTTAAAGATGGGTGTAACATTTGCCTCTTTCCAGCCGTCAGGAACCTCCCCATATGATAGAGAGTGGTTCCACAGTAACATCAGCCAGCTCCATCAACAGCCTCGATGCATCCCATTCGGTCCCATGGACTTGCAAATGTCCACCTTACTTAAATGATCCTTATCTCCCTCTTCCTTGGCAGTGGGTAGTATTTTCTTCCCCAGACTCTGCCACTAGGTACAGGAACTTGGGTGCCTGGGAGCAAACCTTGCCAGTAGAACAAGGCGACGAAGGCGCTGAGTACCTTCACCTTTTCTACTTCCTCCTCCATTAGGCTACTTTCCCCAATCAGCCCTGGGCCAACACTTTCCTGGGTAATCCTTTGGTGCTGACATACCTACAGAAACCCTTCTTGATGCCTTTCACATCCCCTACCAGTTTCAAATGCAGCTGAGGTCTGACCTTCCTAATTCAATCCTGCATTCCTGGGCAATGCTACCATAGTCCTCCTTCGTAGCCTGGCCTGGCTATCAAACATTTCCTTGTTATGTTTCAGCTCAATCAGAAGTTCCCCATTATGCTAAGATGACCTCCTGCCATGCCTGCTTTTTTCCTTCCATTTCCTCTTCTCCAGAACAGGAGATGCTCCACAGAAAGAAATCACCATTACCAGCCACGACGTCTGGTCAAAGGAGTCAGGAACTCACATCAGAGAAGGAAAAAAACCACAGAATTTGATGGGTTTTGCCAGAGGAGAGATCTCCAATAAAGGCAGAGTTGCTCCAGGGTGCTGTCTCGCTACCCCTTGGATGATACATGGACTCTGCCTACTTATCAAAATGTGCTGTACTCAGCCACCAAAGCAGGGGAAAACTCACTGCAAATTTAAGGAACTTCTGCTCTGGTCTGGGTCCTGCAGGATGTGGGGAAGCCCTGTGCAAACTGAGACAGATGGAGAAGGTAGGAAAACCCCGCAGTCTGTCTCTCTGTCCCTATTATGCTCCCTTCCTCTCTGCAAACACTGAGTCACTCTTGCTTTCTCACCGTGCGTACACACATCCTTCTCTGTGCTGCCTCCCACCAGGGCCACTGAGTGCCTCAGCATCTCCAGCAAAGGCAGAGTTTCTGTGTTTAAAGCAAGTGTTAAAAGCCCCTTGAGAGCTCATTGACAACCACTAAATCAATCCTCATCCTTTGATGGGCAGGGAGTGAGAAAAGCTCGCACTGATATCTTTCAGCGATACAGCATTTACCCAGCCGCCACCAGTGAAAAAGGTCTGCCGTGCCCCACATACCGATGGGCTGGTGGAAGAGCTATTCAATAGAGAGCATTGATCTCCATGCTACGGAAAGGTCACTGATTCCAGAGGCTGTTGAACCGCAGAGAGTTCAGGGATGGAAAACACATCAGGGCACTCCTGAAACACCATCGTGTCAAGGAGCTGCTTGAAAGGAGCAGTACCAACCAGCACTTAGAGAAACACGGTACTAAGTCATTTCACCTGTTCTCACCCTTGAACAGTTCCTTTTCGCCCCAGTTTTTCATTTTCATGTCAGTTTTCAAGAGGGAAGATCTTTTTCTTTTAATTCCCCCTCTTTTTTCCACATGGGTGGTGGAGCACGTGGCCCACACACAGATCATGTCTCCAGCTGTGACCCAGGACAGCTACTGCTGAGATGTAACAAGGTCACTCCACTTCTATGGCCCACTGTGTCACTGACCTCTCCGTCGAGACTGCTAATAAGGCCAGAGATGCACCATCTGCAGCAGAGTTTTTGCAGCCATCTGTCTACTGGGAACTGGAGTGAGTCCACCAACAGGCCACCAACAGCCGTCAAACAGAAACAACGTCCAGTTTTCAATGAGGCTGTGCCAAGTTGGCTGTGTCTGAAGTGATCGCTTGCATCAAAAAGCTCATGCCGTTCATGCCCATGGCTGAGTAGGTGCCACTAAGAAGCAACCATTATTTAGGGGTTTTGAATGGGAAGCGGAGGGTAAATTCATTTCCTCTCTGATATGCAGCCCAAAGCTGCGATCACCTCCCTTTTACTCTGCCTCCTTTTCCTTACCACGTTCCTTTCCTTCTTTCTCTCCTGCCCTTTCTTTCTGCCTCCCATGTATAAACAAACCCTAGCTGGGCAAAATTCTGGGAAAGTTTCCAGATTGTCAGCCTCAGTGAGCCTATTCATCAGAAGTGTTTCATACTCAAGCTGAGCCTATGTATGCACGCTCCAGATGCCTTTGTCCAGAGGTCTGAATGGGAAATTTCCCGGCCAAAGCTCCCTGAAACAGCTGAGCTCTGGTGAGTGCTCTCCACAGAAGACCAGGCAGCTAGGGCACGAGCATTTTCTCCTCTACACGGTGAGAAAGAACCACTTTGATACGGCTCCTGTATTTTAGCAACAACAGCTGGAATAATACTGCTGATCCCGCTTCTGAGCACTCCTCCAGCTGTTGTCTATCAGACTATATAACATCTAGGGCAAATCGAAATGGGAGCCAGGAGATAATGTTGACTTGAATATGATGTTCCTGAGACCATTAATAGGACAGCACATTCATGTCCAGCAGCTATGCCTAAAATAAAAAGGACACACAGAGTGCTCAGGGCTCAGCCATGGGAATGCTGTGAAGTTTAGAAAACATGAAAACATGATCTACAGAGAAGAAATGAAACAAACTCAGCGCAGCAAAGAGAAATTCTAGAGATCACTTGATCATGCTTTACAAATATTTACACAGAGAGACTTAGGATAGAGAGCCCTTTAATCAAGATATAGCTGGTCTCAGGATCACTTGGAAATGCACGTCCATCCTTGGCTAGCTCAGAAATGCCCATTCAAGCCTCCCATAAACATGTCCCCCCATTCATGCTGATCATTTTGGGCATAGGCATAATGCAAAGGCTGAAATGAGAAATCAAAAAGTGTGTATTTTAAACAGGGCAGGAAATTGACTTTACTGTCCTCAATAACAGTAAATATTGAGGGGCACACTCCTGGAAGAAAATACATCATGTTATTCCAAATGACTCTGGCATGCTCCAAACTGATTCAACCTCATGTCTAAACTTGGGTTTCAGATCCTGAACTTGTTTCTGATAGGAAAGAGAGGGTGAGGCTCGAACACTTGCTCTTTACTCCTCTATCCTAACTTTCCACTTGATCCTGACACCAGTGACACCAGTAAGTCACCTACCAGCGCTGCCCAGTGCTGCCCAGCCTGAGGAAAAGCAGGAGAGGACAAGGACTTGAGCAGATCCAATGATACCCCAGGCACGGAAAAACCTGAGTTCTAGATAAATGTTATTATGATCAGTCTTCAGCTCAGAGCACTTGCCATAATTAACTAGCCACTATGCACTGTCACAGTATCAACATAAAAAAGATGCATTTTTGCTTATTTTTTACTCTCTTGTATCTTTCCTCTATCAAAGGGTAGAAAAAGTTATCTCAATTCACAACTCTCAACTGAATTTACCCTTTCCTCCCTACTAAGAAGAATCACTTGACAAAATAAGAGCCTCAGACTGATCCTTTCTCCCCAAAGGGTCACCAATAATTTCCAAACAGTATATTCTCTGTGGCCACTGCATTTCAATTTCATGGTTATTCACCCGGTTCTGATTTTCTTTCTTTTGTTTAGCTTAGAGTCATGAAGCTCACAGCGTGTTTCCCATGGGCTTAGGAAAGGCATGGGTCTCGTAGTGTAAAGTTGGATCTTGTAAGATACAGAATAGGAGGAAAATCCCATGCACACCTCGGGTCGTTCAGCTCATACAGTCCACCAAACTGTATCTAACAGGGGCATGAGCCAATGTGGGCCTTTGTTCAATAAAAATTTGCTATCAAACCACTTCAGCATCTATAAATGATACAATTTAATGTTGCACCTGAACCTGCTTATAGGTGTACAGGAGCTCTTTGCAATGGGATGTACTGAGGAATCCCATATGCATCTGAAGCTAAAGGCAAAACGTGGATAAGAGGTTGGAGACTTATTTAGCCCATGCAGTTTAACATCCTTAAGCTCTTGACAAGTGCTGTCAGTTCTTCAGGACAGATGTTTTTCATAACGGATCATGGATGTTTTGATGTTATCAAAGACCCAACCGGGAATACCTTGAAGCAGTCTGCCTGCCAGGAGGCAGTGCACGTCCACTTCTCCGCGAACAAGGTTTCCTGGGGTATACAAAAGCATCCAAAACAGCACGTGGCTTTTGAAAATGGAACAATGTGACTACATGGGGTCATGGCACTAATTTGACTGTACCAATTTCTCTGGCACTAAAAGGAACGAATAATGCCAACTAAGCCACCATGATGACTGTTTGCAGGACCCACTCATTACAAAACTGTCCTTCCTCAGGCACCAGACACCCAAAACAGGCGAGCAAAACCACCAGGACCCATGTAGATCAAGAGACAGTTACTTTCCCCAACAAGAAGAGAAGAGAACGAAAGCCATACCTCCAAACAGAGACATAAATGATAATCAACAGCAAAAGTGTCAGCGAAGATACTCCACAGCCTACAATTAACGTGACAGAAGGCACCAGCACCTTTTCCATGTTCTGAAAGAGAGAAAGACAGACATTTTAAAAAAAAGGAAATAAAAAAGAAAAAAAAAAAGAAAAAAAAAGAAAAAAAAAGAAAAAAAAAAAAGAAAATATGCTCAGCAAATGCTACCAGCTTAATTTCATGGCAAGAACTTTCCTCCTAATTGTCTGTGTCTCAACTCGCCTGACCTTCACATCACACTGCACATACAAATAAAGAGCAAAGAAGACCAGGATCTATTTCTGGTTGACCCAGCCTTTTTTTGGACCTGATTCTGCTCCCACACACACCAGTGTTAAGTCTGGGTAACAACTCTGATACCAATGGTGAGGCAGGTGTGTAAAAGGCGTAGGTTGCAAGAGAAGGATCAGGCCCTTCATATCCAGTGTGAAACTTTAAAGATAATTAATGTGGCAATAGTAGAAGGCAGTGCCTACACTAGAACAATTACAAATGAGCTGTTCTGGGAATGGTGGTGATGAAGGTTGGAGGATGAAAAGAAGGTGAACATCTTCTACCAACTACAAACATCCATCTGGAAAATGAGGAGATGAAGCAAGAGAAAAAACACAAGATGTATACCCTCCCCAGGGACCCAGTATCCAGTCATACTATCCATGACTTCACTACTCTTACACTGCTACAGAAGACATTTCTTCATATACAGAGGTCCTTACTGGAAAATCTGGTGTGGAACAGTTCTCCTTTCCTGTCTGAACACAAAAGATCTGCTGATCATCAGCTCTTGCAATGTCAAGAACAAACGCACATGCTATAACCTCTCCTAGTCTAGTTCTCTGCGTCACTGGGACTAACTGTGTAACTAGCCAACATCTGCCAGATTAACATCACTAAACTCCCACTGTTCTCAGCTTAAAGTGAGGATCTCGATCCCACTTGGTTTTCTCTGCTGCAGGCCTTTTTTCTGGCATGTTTCTCATTTCCACATCAGTGATCTCTGCTGGCATGAAGACAGAGAAGCAGAGACCCACTGTGCAGCAGACACATGAGAACCCTCTATTTAGAGCGATTAGGCAGTATACAGAGGTGCGGGAGCACAGTCAAGGTTGTCATTAGATTGGCACACTACCAACACCTATCACTACAGCCATGGAGATGAGATGGTTTCTGACATAGCAAGGGCTTAGCATAGGGGAAAAAGAAAGCAATTATGCATGAATTCGGGAATGGAACAGGCAATCCTCTAAGGACTCGTCTACATCATTTTGTTGGCAGGCATGAGGCTGCTCAACCTGAACCTCCAATCAGCAGGACACCACAAAGTTGAGGCTACTGCAGCTCTGTTCCAGGCTACTGAGCCTGCTGCAAAGCAAATATATTAGGCAAGACTCGCTGCTATGCTTATATGGAGTTCAGCCAGCTCAACACATGGGCACAGCAAGCATATGTCCATTGACTCAAGGACCACAGTCAACACAGGTTTACTTCACAGAGCCCACCACGAAGAGGAGACAAACAACCCTGATATATTGGGATCTGAGCTGAGTTGTCCCTCCAGTCTGAAGGGCTTGGGAAGATCCTTCTTACTTGCATATTTTGACCAAAGGCACCCCTCACATTTTGAATCTCATTGGGAGGAATTAATGAAGAAAACATTACATAGGGTTTGGATGCTGATCCTAATTCAACTTTCTGAAATTACATAACTGGATTTCTGGCAGTATCTTAGTCCTTTTAACTACCAGCAGTTGTGCAGGAGCCACAAGAATAACATTGCGTTGAGCCTCGCCAACCCATCCAGCAAGGTCCTGCATCTCCCTCACCTACAGCTTCCCAAAATGCTTCTGGAAAACGTTTGAGTTCACATGTGGATTCTTCCTCTAAACTTCTATGGAGATTTGGATCACTGTGATTTTCAACATCAACTCATGTGACTGTATTCCCACCCTGAGAATTTACCCCTGCCAAATATTTGTGGAAGGCTAGAAGCAGTTTTTGGGAACTAGGTAAACAGAAAGACATTTCAATGAAAATATCAACATTTTTATTCATCTTCTATCAAACAAAATTGAAATTGGACATGTTCCAGGCACTGTGAGTGCTGAAATGTTGTATCCTGCTCCTTATAAATTGAAATGTGGAAGAGACTTTCTTCTGGGAAGAGAAATCTCTGATTTAGTCAGGCACTGGAGTAGCGTATGGGAGAGAGATATGAAATATCCAGTATGAAGCCACAGTTTCTCCCTTTGCCAACTTTGTTGCCCCCCCCGAAGAACCCAAGTGGGCAACAGTCCTGTCCCACCCCAGACATGCATGGTCGTGATGAACACACGGCAAAGCACAAGCTACTCAGACATGGATTGCTCTTAGCTCGCTCGCTCCAAGCTCACTCCCAACCCTTTTTCTCTCCCTGCTTCGCCCTTACGGCAATATGAGTTCACATAGCACAAATAGTGGCCTGGGATGAGCATCGATTTTGACATTTGATTTAAGTAGGTCTCATTTCACTGACTTTTCATGGGTAACTGGATAAAAGTGGGGGAGGAGCTCTGTTAAAGCAAAAAAGCCCGACATATAACTCACTCCTAAACTATCTGTGAGCAAACAAGAAATGGAGATTGGATTTTAAGAGATGAGCAGACTATGTCCCTGTATCTCCAACTCAGTAATCCTAACTCCTCTCTCACACATCCTCTCTGACATCCCTCCATCTCCAACAACCTCAGGTTCTTTCACCCCCTTCCCCACCCTTTTTCCCACATCACCCATAACACTCTCCTAGATCCTCCATCAGCTAAGTAAAAGCTTGCACTGCATGTACTGGACCATTTGTAGGTCAGATATTTACTCGTTGGCAAGGCATTACACAAATGCCGACTGGTGAAGTGGAAGCCACCCCAGTGGGTAATTGCTGGTGTCTATCTGCAGACCTTCCCACGAAAAAGACCCTGATCTTCACCTCCCATAAAACTGCTTTCTCTCTTACCTTGAGAATGCCTTGCTGGTTTTCTCTTGGTATCACTATTTCTTTTTAAACCAACCTTGCTTTTCCCCCTCATTCTCCTCCAAGGAAATTTCCCTCGCAAGGCTCAGATCCTACAGCATCCGACCACCTTCTGTCAGGGGGTTTAATTAGTCAGAAGGAATAAAACAAATGATGCTTCTTTTGCCAAAGGGAAGAAGTGAGGGAGGGGGAAAGGATGATGGGGAGGACAGAGAAACCTTAATAATGAAGACAGAAAGCAGAATCCTAAGCTATATGGCCTAAGCCTGTAGGACTTACTATTCCCAAAGGAGCAAGCTCTTCTTGCAAGACAGCTTTTTTTATAGTTATCCACCCTCATGATGCCAGCAGAAACCCCATCAGGGCTGAAGCAACCATCCCTTCTCTGTAGGAACAAAGGATGAGCTTCACAGCATCTCCTCAGGAAGAGTCCTTCCGGTGGGCATGGGTTTTGTGAAAGTTTGGCTGAAGCACCACACCGAGGAGGAAACTGGTTGTCTGCAAAAGACAAGGCTAGGAACAGGGTCTCCACCTTCTTGGACTGGAGACAGTCCCAATGGCCTGTCCCTCACCACCTCCCCATGTCTGCTGATGAGTGCCATCCAGAAGAACCCTGAAACACTGATGAAGCTGTGTGTGGTTGGAACTGGAAAGAAAATCTTGGCCTGGACCAAGAAGGAAGAGAGCAGGTCATCATGCATCCCAAGTCCTGCAATTCTGTCACCAAACATGACAAGGGAGTAGAGAAGCAATCAATGACATCAGCTGGGATGGAAATAACGAGCACTACTGCCTGGGGCTGCTTGCAGTCCTACCACCTCATCACTCTGCCTAGCAGGGCAGAAGGACACTCCTCTTTTTCTTTATAATTTCACTTTGCTTCCTTCTTCTCTTCTATTTCCTTCTTTTCTTTTTTCCCCTCATTTTTCTTTCTCTGCTTTGTCTTCTTTCCTCCCTTCCTTTGGCCATTTTCCATGACATATTCTGCCTTTTCTTCTTGCTCTTAATGCATCTCTCTGGCTCTGTCCCCTTTACATTCTCTGCATTTCTCTCTTTCCTTCACTTACTTTTTGCACAACACTGTAAAAAGTGACTTCATTTGAGTCATGCTTGTTCCATTACCCTGCTCTGGCTCCAGGGTCAAATAGGCTCCAATTAGAACAAAGTCAAAAATGGTATTTCTTAATGCCATGCAGTTTGCCTGAGACCTTACAAGCAAGCTGTTCTTTCTGCTTTTTCCATCCTTGATACCGAGAAAGGCTGAACAAAGTCTTTATAGGTACAACATCATGCAAATAAAGTAACCGAAAAATTAAACCATTTACTTTGCTCTCAAATTAAACACAGGCATACGAGTTTGGAATTTGAGGTGCTGGATTTGTTTGGTTTTATAAATGTGTTAGCTATTCAGAATGGTTGCCTTGAGCTCGATTTCCTGCACATTTGAAATTAAAGACTCATCAAGTTAGAAAATTTCAAAAATACTGGTTGTGAGGGGCATCTAGAGCTTTCTAATCCAATTTACTGCTTGGAGCATGACTACCACTAACATCAGGTAAGGTTGGCCATGGTTTTGTCTAGATGAGCCTTGGAAATTCTCAAAGATGGAGAGCTCCCATCCTTATGGTGACCATTCCAGGGCCACACCACTCTCCTGGTGATAGGTTTTTTCCTAAGGTCACACATGAACCTCCTGAGCTACAGTTTATTGCTCTTCTCCTTATTAAATCATCAGGTACAAGCAAGAGGATTTTGGTTTTATGTTTTTTGTAATTTCCCCTCTGATACCTGTAGGTTGGGATTAGAGTGCCGCTTACATTCATCTTTGTAAGACCAAGGAAGTCCAGCTCCCTCTACGTCTCCTCACAGGTCATGAGCTCAAAGCAATGAGACTCACTTCATTCTTCTGACAAAGAACTGGAGAGAGTGAGTGTGATTTACTCTGGGAATTGCTCAGGAACCGTTTTACTGAGCCACTGGTCTAAAGGCTTTTCATGATTCTTGAGAAGTTTTTTAAACCACATTGTATTGATTTTGATGCTGGTTGGA